ATAATAGTCTTATTTTTATTGAAATTTTTTTTCTGACAATAATGTGCATGGTAACGTATTGTATTTTTTGCAAAAAATCCTTTGCATTTTGAGCAAGCAATAAAATCCATGGCAGTCTTAGTGGAAATTACATTGGGCCGTCTAGATACAATTAATTTTCCGGTATTTACATTCTCGTTTGTATTAAATATGAAATTACCTTGTTTTCGAAGGATATCTATTATTTTCTTCCTTTCTTCATGTTTTTTGGGCAAAACAGCGAACTTTTTTACTTCATCTTTATCACGGTGCACTGTTATTAAGTGCCGCGCGAGTTGAGTTTGCAATTTAAAACAGAAAACACAACAGTTCTGTTTGGATTTAACGTTACTTTTATCAACAGACATTGCTTCATCATTGCATGCTGTATCAATTATACTTATTTTTGAAGTATCTAAACTGGATTGTGAGGATACAGATCTTTTTGTAGCTGATTCTTTTTGTAAGCTTACATTATTGTCATCTGATGATGTGCATTCATTTTCTGAAGGAGCGTACTCTGATCCATCATCACTATTTCCATGATCGTTATCTATATTTAACAACAGAGAAGAGAAAATGTGAATATATAAATAGATAAATTTAGATTATTTTTTCAAATGTAAATATATAACAGTTATTTTTGTAATTACGTTTATATTAAATAAAAATGCTTATAATACGATATACATTTTTATGTTAATAATTAAATCTCTAATAAGTTTAAACTTAATTGTACTGCGGATGTTGATGAACATGTACTTATTTTTTACTATGCAATTGTTTGTTGAATTTACTCATTGTTCAAAAGTAACATTTGGCAATTTATATTTACTATTTTTTTATAATTTTTATGCAACAAACTGACATATTTAATGTGTATACCATAAAATAAACAAAGTATTATATAAATAAATAATAGAAATAAAAATTACGTAAAATTTTTAAATATTATAAATACATATTTATAAATAGATATTTCAAACACTATATAAAGCCATTAAAATCTGTGCAACTACATCTATATAATATATATCAGGTTATTAAATGTTTCTGTTAGTTATAAAAAAAACAATCACTAAAAATTAATAAAGTTCACTCACAAAAAAAGTTTACACAAATATTTGCAATAAACAATTTTCAAAGAGGTATTGGATGCTTACTGATATTTTTTGACTGCTCATATCTTATTGACAAGTAATGGATATGCATATATCAATCGATAGATCTCTAAAACCAGTTATATGTACATGAATACCTCAGTATCTTCTTACATTGATAGATTTATTATAAAACGTAATTCTACATCGGTGCAATAGAAAATCTAGAGTTTTAAAATACACATTTAAATCATAACATTTGAGGAACAATTAAAAACTAATTATAAGAGACATTTACTCTTAATGACAAAATGAAATATTATATAACGAAAACTATCCTAAAGTACTTTATATATTTAAGTGTTTTAATAATTACTAGACAACACAAGCGCGCGCTTCGCGCGCGCCATTTATTCTGTTATAAATTATATATTTTTAATGACATATATACTTACTTTATGAACATAATTAACTTCTTGATACAGCTGTCAAAATTGAAATAACAATCAAAGTAAGTGTGGCGAGGGAAGAAATAACATTTTGCAAAAAAGGCAGTAATAGTTTGATGGATTCAAGTATCCAATATATATAGAAAAATATACAATAATTATATATTATATAAATAAACATATACATTATAATAAATGTTCAAAAAAGTCAAGATGATCTTGTCCTGACTATGCCAACGTCATCCAATGTCAAAATAATAAGATCTGTAATTAGATCTTCATAAACTCTGCAACTTTTATCCAAATTACTTTTCTGTATAACTTATTATTTTCTACATTTTCCAGGGATTCTTTGTTCTCAGCATGTACACACACACACACGCACACGCACACACACACACACGCACACACATGTATGTATGTATGTATGTATGTATATATGTATATATAATATATGTATGCATGCTTATGTAAGTATATATTGTAAGAAATCGAGATTATTAAAAGAAGAATTAAGTAAAGTATTTAATTACGGATGACCGTTAAAAGTTTTAACTGTTCTTAGAAAGCGCGGAAAGTACGAAGGTTCGAGAAAGGTGTTTGAAAGTCACTCAACAAAAATATTCACGTAAAGACAAAGACTGCTATTTATTTCGTAAGACTCCCGTATACAAAAATCAACTATCTTTTAGGTATACTGCTCGAAGGAGAGTCCCGGGTTTCTCAGCTCGCTAGTTTAAATACCTTTTGACTCTCCCGCGCGCGCCGCTTTAGTTTGCGCCCTTTACGCTTATCGCCGAGGGCAGCAGTTATCGGGGACAGTTAGCTGTCGTATCGGCGCGTGCGCAATCAGCCGATCGGTGGCGATTGCTTTCAATATGAATATATATATACACATATATATATATATATATATATATATATGTACCACACATATACAGGATGTTCAAAAAGTATAGAAGCACCTGAATTATTCCAAAAATATGCAAGATAAAAAAATGTTTTAAACAAAAGTTGCAGGACTTCAAATAAAGCATTATGTAACAATATCAGTATGACCTTGAACAGCGTCGTCAAGGTCACGTAAAGATCACTTTACATTTTTTAATGGAAATCTCCACTTTTTATTACATATTCTTATAGTTCAGTTTTAGAATTTTTCAAAACACAATAATAAAGTATTTTTTTTAGTTATTAGATCTGAAGTTTATAGAATTTTAACATAAAATACAAAATATCTGGTAAAACATTCAGTTTTCGGTAATTTTACTTTAATATTTTTATGTACAGAACAATAAGACCAATTAATTGATATAAGAAAAACACAGAGTTGATTTTAAAAAAGTAAGTAATTTGCAATATAATATTTTTTTTTTATATGAATGAAAAAATATTTTGTTATAGTGTTTTGAAAAGTTCTCGAGCGAAGCTACAAGAATATGGAAATGCAGAGAAAGTTACATTAAATATACCGGGTTTTTCAGGAAGAATAATTAACATTCTAGAACATAATAAATACAGATTATTTTAAGTTTATATAAGCATGTATTTTGTTCTGGACGCGGTTATAAAAATACAACGTGATTAGTTTTAAGAACGAATGAATTTATTTAAAAGTAGCAAATTTTATGTTTACAATTATATTATACATATAAAACAATTAAATTTTATAATTTTGATTAATTAATAGTAACATTTTGAAATTCTTCTCTTTATTCTTGTTTGCTTTTTTTCTTGATCTGACACTAAAAGATATTCTAATAAATAAATAAATAAACATATATGCACATATATGCATATATAAAATGTAATTATTGTATAATATATATGCAATTTTATATATAGTATTATGTATATAGTTATATTATATTATATACAAAGTGTTTCAAGAAGAATGATTAGCATTCTAAAGTATAGAAATATGAGATTGTATACCTTATTTTAAGCAATAAAGTTTATATAAACATGTGTTTCATTTGTGAACGTGGTTATAAAACTACAACGTGTTCAGTCTTAAGAACAAATACATTTTTTTTACTTAATAGAAGCAAATTTTATGAAACAATTACATTAAATTTTAAGCTTACAATTTTAAATAATTAATTTAAATTAATATTAATTAGTAAACAATAATTTAAATTAATTAACAATAAATTTGGCATAAGTGTAAACATAAAACATTTTAATTACACCAGAAACAAAAAATTTCAAATTAACGCAAAACTTATTAAATGTGACCTAATGTTTACATTTGTATTCGGATAGTAACAGAAAACGACAAAAATTAATTAATTAATTAATTAATTATTGTTTCATAGTATTTATTTCTCCAAAATTAATAAATGTGTTTGATCTTTAAAATTGAACACATTTTATCTTTAAAACCGTCCAAAATAAGATGTTTGTATAAATTTGTTTGCTTAAAATAATTCATACAATCATGTTCTAGAATATAACCATAGAATATTGATCATTCCTTGAAACATCTTGTATATGTATATAGGATATACCACCAAAAATAGCTATTCTCTTTTATTTTTTAAACTAAAAGAGATAGACTATAATATACATATCAAATTAAATGGTCCAATCTGAATTCTATTGTAAGCATACCCAAGTAAGAAACAAATATATAAAAAATGTTTAAAACTCATTTCAAAGATATTTTTAAAATGTTAAAATAATTGGTTAAGTCCCTTTTTATATAAGTCACATTTTAAAAAAACGTTTACCTTAATGTTAATTCAATATAAATATTTATTTAACATTTATTAAATATTTAATTAAGACATTTCTATCAGGCTCTCAATATTAAATATAATGATAGAAAGGCTGTAAGAACCGAACGCGGATGTTGCTGCGTGTATTCCGACGAAAATTAATTTTTCATCGGAAATAAATAATTATATGCACAAGGCACGAATTTTACTTGGTCACTGCCAAGACTTAAATATATGGAATAATCTCATCTTTGAGATTTAATTCCATTGAACCCCCTCTGACCCCCCTTAAAGAAATAAATGCGAGAAAAATATAGATCCGAAAGTGGCTGAATCGGGAATCGAACCCGAGAACCTTATATTTAAGAGAACCAAAATATTTAATATTTTATTATTAAAATATTAATAAAATAAATGTTTATTTAACGTTTATTACATATTTATTTTATTAATATTTTTAAAAAATATAAAAATTTATTAATATTTTTTAAAAATATATAAAATATTTAATAAACGTTAAATTAATATTTATAATACATTAACATATAAAAGTAAACTTTTTTTAATGAATAAAAAGGGACTTAACCAATTATTTTAACATTTTTTAAATAGCTTTTAAAATGAGTTTTAAACATTTTTTATACATTTATTTGCTACTTCGTAGTGGTTGCTTACTGAAGCTGTTTATGTAAACAAATGGAAAAGTTTGCACTCTCTGTTTCTCTCTACGCAGATATAAGGTGAATCAAAAATATTGTTTTCAAAATTTGTGAGCTTGTTCCTTTTTATGCAAGAATACACAAATTTTTTAAACATACTTTTGACTCACCTTGTACACACACACCGATTACACTTATTACTTTTAATGATGATATAATTTTTACCTGTTGTGATGAATTTTCTTCAAATTTCTTTTTCTTTAACGTGCGATTAACATTTATTATTCTAGTCAAAGACATTCGCTCTTCTAATTTCTTAATGTCTTTTAGACTTTGTACTGAAAAGTACGATGGATCAACTGTAAATAATTATTACACAGTTATTATATATAAAAATAAAATATATATGTATAATTTCGAAAAAGAATAAAGGTATTAACATATAATCATAAAAAAATTGCTGTGAAATGTGTGTGTATACGAAGGAAAGGGAACAAGGAAATCATTTTAAACAATTACTTAAATATTTAATAATGTTATTGAATTTAAAATTTGTTAATTTAATGTTGTTTGAAAATTTGTAAGTTCAAAAAATAAATGAATTTATCGATAATTCTTTAATTTAGTTGATAATCGAAGATATAAATTTATTGACATTTTTTGATTTACAAAAACATTTTTAAGAAGCCCTTAAATTTATTATTATATTTTTTTTAAACACCATGATTACGAAATCAAAATATCAAAGCAGGAAAGTTTAAAATTAATGAAATTGAAATTAATAATAATAATAATAAATAGTTAAACATTTCCTACTTGCATATTGCATCTCGCCAATTACTTTAATTTTATCTCCTTTCATAAGTTCATAATCGTTTTCATCAAAATTTATAATATGTACTTCTAATTTAAAGTACCCATCAGTGATAGATCCACATCCAATTTTCTTATTTAAATTAGTTTTATAAATTGGCCCAAAATTGGACTTTATATAGCCCTCTAATGCTATAAAAGAAAAAATATATAAACATATATAAATATATAAACATATACATATACAGAGTGAGTCTAATAGAAAATTCATTACGTTCTTCTCAGAAAGAAAAGGTTAAAGATATATATATATATATATATATATATATATATAAAGGAAGATGTAAAGAATAATATATATTATCAAAATTATAGGTTTAAAAATATCTATTTACAAATCTTATCACTTTGACCTTAAATGGTGTTGCCAAGGTCAAAACAAAAACTTGAATTTTTTAAATAAAATCACCATACTTTTTTTATACAAATTGATTTCTATAATATTCTGTATAAAAAGTTATAAGAGTAAAAAAGTCAAAAAGTGAAAAGTTTACGAGATATTTCATATTTTAATTTGACATAATCTTACATAAATTATGAAATAATCTTGTAAAATATTCATTTTTCGATAATCTTATCCTAATACTTTTATGTACAAAATGGCTTTTAGTTGAAAATTACATATTTTTTCTTAAAAACAATTATGTATTTTCTCTAGACTAATCGATTTTTCTCATTATTTTATTCATAAAAATATGAAGATAAGATTATCAAAAAATGAATATTTTAAGAGAAATTTCACAGTTCATGTAAGATTATGTAAAATTAAAATATAAAATATTTTATAATCTATATATTCACTTTTTAATCATCCTACTCTTTTATAACTTCTTATACAGAATATTACAAGGAATCAATTTATAAAATAATAAAAATATATAATGATCTTATTTAAAAAATTCAAGATGTTTTTACTTTGACCTTGGCAACGTCATCCAAGATCAAAGTGATAAGATTTGTAAATCGATATTTTAAACCCTAATTTTGAAAATAGATATTTTCTATATCTTTCCCTATCTCTAATCGTTTTTGAAAAAAACGTGGTGGACTTTTTATCAGACTCATCCTGTATATGTATATATTCAAGATGTTTGATTTAATCGGTCTACACCAATATTTCGAAAAATATAGAAAATACGAAAAAAATGTTTTATAAAAAAGTTTTATGACTTTGAGGGGGACAGATAGGATATCATTGGTTTGATCTTGCATAATCGTTTGAATCTTACGTGAAGGTCACTTTCAGTTTCTTAAATGGAAACCCTTATTTTTTAATGCATATTCTTGTAGTTGCTTATTTCGAGAGCTTTCCAAAACACTATAATAAAATACTTTCCTCTTAAGTACTTTTTGAGATATAAAGCTTAAAGTTTACAATTTTTTAACATAAAACATACAATATCTTGTAAAATATTCAGTTTTCCATAATCTTACTTTAATACTTTTATGCACGGAATAATGAGACCAATTAATTGATATAAAGAAAACAAAAGTATTTAAAAAAAATGTAAGTAATTTGCCACTGCAGCTGCACACTTTTTTTTAATGCAAATATGTATTTTTTTACACTAATTGATTGATTTCATTATTCTATGCATAAAAGTATTAAAGTAAAATTGCTGAAAACTGAATGTTTCACAAGATATTTTGTATTTTATGTAACTCAAGAAATATTTAAGAGAAAAATATTTTATTATATTATTTTGGAAAGCTTTCGAGATAAGCTACAAGAATAAGTATTCAAAAATAGGAGCTTCCATTTAAAAAATAGAAGTTGATCTTCATGTGACCTTCAAACAATTATCCAAAATCAAACTAATGATACCATTTTTCGTTTCCCTTGTAGTTATAAAACTTTGGTATAAAACATTTTTTTTGTATTTTCAATACTTTTCGAAATATTAAATAGTATTATGAGAAATGAATAAAAATAAAAAGAATAATAATAAACAATTCATGAGTATGAGAAGGCATAAGATTGAATTGTAATTTACCGACTCTTGATGATGTATTCATTACATCACAAAACTCCACAAGCTCCGGTTCGATTAAATTGGTTCGTTCCATATTATATTTCCCCAAATTGGAGATTGTTGTATTACTCTGGATCTGTAGCTCGTAGGGCACATTGCCGTTATTATATCGTGAAATTTTAGGAGTACGAGCCTGCACTCCGTCTAAATGAATAATCTATAATATAAATTTTATATTAATTAAAAATATACAAATAATTAACTTATTGAATTAAAATTAAATTTGACGTATATATATATATATATATATATATATATATATATATATATATATATATGTATTTATTTATTTTTTATGTTCCTTTTGTATGTTTCTTTCGTAAAAAATTCGAAAATTTATATTATTTAAAAAATTCAAAATTTCATGAAAAATGATCACCGATCTTCATTAAATTTAATAGCAACCATTTTTATTCTTTAATGATACTCTATTCAAGTTCTTTATTCTTTAATGATACTCTATTCAAGTAAAAGAATTTACCTCGATATGTCAAAATTTATAGAAGTTAGAACAATCACAAACATTTATCGAAAAATTAAAATTGCATTAAAATTTAAAATACTATATAAATTTTTATAAAAATGGTAATAAATAAAAGTATTGTACTATTTTACTTGTATGCCAAAGTGGAGTGCCGTAGCTCAAACAATTCTTGAAACGTTTAAATTTTCGGAAAAATGAGTCGGCAGACATACTATATATACATTATACATACATACATACATACACATAGATATTTTTTAATGTAATTTTTTGATGGTTTGGAAAATTCTGAACACATTGATCTGAAAGATTTTTTCACGAAAACTAAGTTTCCTCTATGAGAAAGCAAAAAGAGAAAACAAATACTCACGTGGTTTAATTTTACATGTGGTTCTACGGGTGTAATATCGTCATTCCACACGACAACTTGTACTCGCCTCCCTTCGCCATTATTAATATAAAATTTAAAAACTTTATATTGTTTCATGTCGCCAACAGAACGTGTGGCTTCAATACTGTCTACAAAGCCTACTACCTCACTACAAAAATAAAGAAATTAAAAAGTATAAAGAAAGTAAAGAGAAATTAAAGTAGTAAAAAATTTAAAAATTAAAAAATAAAAATAAAAAATTTTACATATTATATAATATGTAAATAATTATTTAACACTCTTCCAGATATATTTTTTAATAGAAAAATATATTAAAAAAATAAATTATATTGATATATTATGTATGTAACGTATACTTTTTAGAAAGTATGAAAAATGGAGAATTTCCCCAGAATGCCAAACTGTCTTTTAATATAGAAATTATAAAAACAATGATAAATTATTAAATTAAGGCCATGTGTAACGAGCAATACTTCTTAATTTGAAATAATAATTATACAAACGTTTCGATGATAATAAATAACGATAATAAATAAATACATAAAATTCTAATATCCGCAATACATAGTCAATATAAGTTATATAGTTGAGTCATAGTTAAAACGCAAAATATATTTACAATGAATTGAGACCATTAAAATATCCACTAATGTGTCTAAAATATTGAACCTTTATGCTTACAAATTGTTCCGAATAACTTGAGATGACGATGCTTCTAATTGTTGTTGGTCTTATTGTTAGTACTTGACTGTTGTCTAGTCTTTTAAAAAGTCGAATAAATAGGTGTCAAATAATTTGGAGAGGATGAACATAATCATTGCCAGATCGAGGGACTTTCGTCAAATAACGATAAGTGGTTCATTTGGAGTAATGTATAAGTGTCACTCCAAGTTTTTATTAATAATTCTAATATATTTTATGAATAACCGGACGAATCATTCTGCTTCTAATTGGGTTCTTACTTTGTTGAACTATTTTAATGGTCTCAATTCATTGTAAATATATTTTGCGTTTTAACTATGACTCAACTATATAACTTATATTGACTATGTATTGCGGATTTTTTATTAGAATTTTATGTATTTATTTATTATCGTTATTTATTATCACTATTTTTTTGCGCACTGAAGAGGAGCAAGTAGAGCTCGAAACGTTTGTATAATTATTATTTCAAATTAAGAATTTTCTTCTCAATAATAAAATAATATCGTATTGCTCGTTACACATGGCCTTAATTTAATAATTTATCATTGTTTTTATTGTCATACGAGCTTGAGCATTGGTATGTGATGTTTTGATTAGGTATTAATTTAGCATTGCTTTTTACGCTGGCCTGAAAATGCGTTATACTAATATTCCGTTTAGATTTCATCGTTTCAATTTTAAGTTCTTATATAATTCATTTGGGGGAGAAATAACATGGAGGTTAAAGCAATGGATTGATTTAAATTATCAAATAATCAAAGCTAGATCAAAGTTGAATTTTTTAAAACATTGTAAAAATTTTGATGTCTTACCTAACCACTTGACGTCGTATTGTAGGAATCAATTTTGTTTGCATCACTTTAGATCGAAAAAAAGGCTTGATAGCTTGCTGTACAGATTCAAAAAACAAATTTTAAATATTGAAATCAGAGATTTATATAGATTAATTAATTTATTACATGGTAAACTTTACAATATTTCAAGATATGTGGCTAACAAACTGCCAGTACACATATGGAACGAAATTTTAAGACATCATTTCATCTCATTTGACATGTTTCATAACAGACTACATAACAAACATAATAACAAATTTAATTGGCTAATTAAAAAGAAACAAGACGAATATCTGAGAAATATCAAACCGATTAAACTTAGTTATTCCATCAACAAAATAGACATTCCACAATCAACAATTTCAGTAAACAATAATATAAACAAAGACATTGTCATATATCCTAATAAATTCAGAGACAAACATATTAATCCTCTAACCAGTACTAACGAAAAATGGTTTATTAATTTGACTGACACAATAATTCCTACCAATGTCACTAATCTATTACAATTTGGAAGTAAATTCGGCCTGCCGTTTAAGAATGACAAAAAGTTGGCCATACACGAGTTTATCAAAGATATAGAAGGGAATTCCACTAGTTCTAACATGAAAAATTTAAATACATTACGTAACAATCTGGTTCCACAACTTTCCTATTTTTTACACGGCAAAACTAAGTTTAATTCAACTCATGAAGATTTGATTAGTATGTATAAATATACAAGGAGGTTTTGCCATGATAATCCGGATATTCTTTTTACAAGGGCTGATAAGGGCAACGTAACAGTCGCGATGACAAAAGAATATTACACGAATAAGATGGAAGGTTTACTTGAAGACAATAGCACCTATTCTATCATAAAAAAGAACCCATCCTCCAAAATAGAAAAGGAACTAAACGATATTCTTAAGAAATGGCAAAAAAAAGGGTACATTTCTAATAAAGAATATTACTCACTACGTTCCAGCGACTCCCTTCTTCCAAAATGTTATGGTCTCCCAAAAATACACAAGGAGAATACTCCATTTAGAGTAATTGTGTCATCGATTAATACCACGCTTTACTCGATAGCCACATTTTTACATAAAATCATTTCAAATAGTATTCCTACGGGAAAAAGTAATGTAAACAATAGTTTTGAACTTTACAGCAAGCTAGCGGGTAAGAAAATTGGTGCGGAAGATATTCTAATATCATTAGACGTGGTTTCACTATTCACTAACATTCCGATAGATCTTGCAATAGAAAGTGTGAGTAATAGATGGAATTATATCAATACACATACATTAATTCCAAAAAATGAATTCATTTCCATGGTTAAATTTATATTGTCGTCAACATACTTCACATTCAATGACATTGTATACAAGCAAGTTTATGGCACACCTATGGGTTCCCCGTTATCGCCAATAATTGCTAATATTGTTATGCAAGATCTTGAAGAATCAATAATTAATGAATTGGACATCGGTATTGGAATATATTATAGATATGTAGACGACATTATTATGGTGGCACCAAAGAATAAAATTGATAGCGTATTGAATAAGTTTAATAGTTACAATCAACGACTACAATTTACGATTGAATACGAAATTAATAGAAGCATAAATTTTCTAGATTTAAACATTAAAATAATAGACAACATCATACACTTAGATTGGTTTCAAAAAAAGACATGTTCAGGTAGAGTACTATCTTTTTTATCGAGTCACCCTATGTGCCATAAAATAGGAGTAATTTATAATCTTATTAATAGGGCATTGTTATTATCTCATCCCATATATCATAAGAAAAATTTAGAATTGTGTATTAAAATATTATTGGACAACGGTTACCCTATTCATTTAATCTTTAAAGAAATAAATAAGAGAATAAGAGTTTTAAACAATGGTCAGTTTAACAACAATAGAAAAAAAGAAATTGCAGAAGATAATAGCAAGAAAAAATTTTTCGTCATTCCATACATTAATAACATTTCTGAGACAATAGCATCGACAATAAAAAAATCAGATTTCAGAGTAGGATACCGTTGTCTAAATAATCTTAACAAATTAATTAAAGTCCACAAGGACAAAAACGTGCATAACAATAATAATAATGTTGTCTACAAAATTAATTGTAAGGATTGTGAAGCTTCGTATGTTGGGCAAACCAAAAGAAAATTACGCACTAGACTAAAAGAGCATATGAATAATATTAAATTTGATTCCTCCAAGCATTCTGTGGTCTCTGAACATATTATGGATAAAAAACATGCTTTTGATTGGGATAACGTTAAAATACTTGATATTGAATCTAATTATTATAAAAGACTTATCTCGGAAATGATACACATCAAGGAACAAAGGCATGGTATAAATAATAACACAGACACCGAATTGCTTAACAACGCGTATTTCGACATTCTAGAAGAAATATCGAATTTTTAGACTTATGTAAATGTTTATTTTGTGAGATCTGACACCTATTTATTCGACTTTTTAAAAGACTAGACAACAGTCAAGTACTAACAATAAGACCAACAACAATTAGAAGCATCGTCATCTCAAGTTATTCGGAACAATTTGTAAGCATAAAGGTTCAATATTTTAGTAGTTAGTTTAATTTATAATTTTTAATCTTTTTTTCACATACACATTAGTGGAATCCTATTTTACAATTGAATAAATTCTTTAAATTCAGTTAACAAATATCAAATAATTTGGAGAGGATGAACATAATCATTGCCAGATCGAGGGACTTTCGTCAAATAACGATAAGTGGTTCATTTGGAGTAATGTATAAGTGTCACTCCAAGTTTTTATTAATAATTCTAATATATTTTATGAATAACCGGACGAATCATTCTGCTTCTAATTGGGTTCTTACTTTGTTGAACTATTTTAATGGTCTCAATTCATTGTAAATATATTTTGCGTTTTAACTATGACTCAACTATATAACTTATATTGACTATGTATTGCGGATTTTTTATTAGAATTTTATGTATTTATTTATTATCGTTATTTATTATCACTATTTTTTTGCGCACTGAAGAGGAGCAAGTAGAGCTCGAAACGTTTGTATAATTATTATTTCAAATTAAGAATTTTCTTCTCAATAATAAAATAATATCGTATTGCTCGTTACACATGGCCTTAATTTAATAATTTATCATTGTTTTTATTGTCATACGAGCTTGAGCATTGGTATGTGATGTTTTGATTAGGTATTAATTTATCATAGAAATTATGTTTTGATTAAATTTTAAATTAAATTAAATTATAAAATATTCTTTTAAATTTAATTATTAGAAATTAAACTATTTGATTTTATATATAAACGACCACATCAAAACACATTTTAACTCATGGACAATGAAGGAAGAAAGAATTTCGAATGGAAAAAACACTACATTAGAAATTGAAGAAAAAAGCGACTGAAAAATCAGACACAAGTTAGTGTCGAAACGTCTCGCGTATTTTATTTTATATTTATATTATTCCATCATTGATTTTAATATGTCACATTTATTGTAATTATTGCATATATTATCATGATATAAGAATATTAATTTTTATAAAATCAAATAATTAAATTTTAGAATAATTAAATTTAAAAGTATATATATAAGAATATTTTAGAATATAAGTTGTAAAAAAGTAATGAAATACATGTAAGAAAATGTAGCACACACGCGCAAATAACAATAAAATATAAAAAATATAAAATTTAAAATAAAAAATTACAATAGGAAAGAGTTTTTTACATAACATTATAAAATGCAATTTACAATGCAAAATATATTAATATTAAATTAATAATAAAAACAATAAAAATATTAACAAAATATAAAATCAAGTAAAAGACAAAAGAATTTGAAACAATTTGTATTTTGAAATTTTATTTTTTGTTTTTTTATTATTCTACAACAGAATTTGATATAATTTGCATATTTCGACCGATTTTTGAAAATTACTGCCTACCTCTTACATCTTGACGTTTTAACAACAAATCATCTAACAGCTGTAACTAAGCACGCAGCGTTCTGTCTCAGGTACGACGCATTTATGTAACACAACGTGATTTCATATCCCCCGTATCCTCAAGATATTTTTAATCTATTGCATATAATTTAATATTTTAGGATTATTATATCGTAAATGTAATTATTAATTAAGAATTAAAATTTTGTTACTGATTTAACTATTTAGAAAGAAAGATTTTAAAAATCGCATTTAAAAACATTGATATTTGGCAGTCACGGGAAATACAGAATCACGTCGTGTTAGAGATGCGTACCTGAGACAGAGCGCCACGTGCTTAGTTAGGCTGTTAAACAGTTCGTTGCTAAAACGTTAAGACGTAAAGGAAAGGCGGTGACTCTCAAAAATCAATCAATATATGCAAATTGTGCCAAGCTCTGTTTTGTATAAAAATGTTAAAATAATTATCTGTTGAAATATTTTATATGTTAAACAATCCTTAACAGTACAATTCTAAAAATGAAGCGATATAAATAATTAACAATTTGAACATAAATTAAACAGTTAATTATCATAAACTATTTCTGTCTCTGTATATTAATTGTAAAATAAATTGTAAAATATTTCATATAATAATGATTTCCTTTATAATTTAATCTTTTTTATACGTAAAAAATGATAAGAATTACATAAAAATGTGTTTTTAATTAAAAATAATTAAATCAAAATTTAATACTCACACAGTTGAATCGAAAACTTGAATATTATCTAAAACTTCATTTGAAGTTAAAATTTCCATCCCGTCTAATTCTTCTACTTCTTTTCTAAGATCTTCCTGCATTATTTCTAATAATTCTTTCTTCTTCGATATTGTGATGTTACTTGTGAAAACGTCTGGTTGCTACTAATGAAAATCAGTAACAACTCGTCACTCATCTTTTTTTATTTATTAATTGCTTAGCAACATTCAATATAATGAAATTGCAATCAAACCTAGTCGCATAAATCGATTATGAGAAATCCCAACAACTAAATATCATAAAGTTTCGATTTCATTAAGAGGAAAACATACAGAGTGAGACAATTAATTTTTTGATCTGAATATCTTTTTATTATACATGCAACTATCGAAAAATGTTTTCAATGAAAAATAATATAATAATATTACTATAATATTTTTGTCTAAAATATTTTTTTCTAAAATGTATTATCTATATGATATATGCGACTGTTTCTAGATTTTTAAAATGCTCTATACAGGGTGTGCCAAAAGTCTGAATACGGTTGAATATTTCTTATACAATACATATTAGAAAAAATGTTTTAAATAAAAGTTGTATAGCTTAAAAAAATGTATTAACTGAGATGGTATTCATTTGACCTTGGGATGACCTTGAAAAACAATCCTTGTCAACATAAAAATTTTAAATGGAAATCCCCAATTTTTATTACATATTCTTGTAGCTTAACTCGAGAGCTTTTCAAAACACTAATAAAATATTTTTCTCTTACGTACTTTTCTACTTATAAAGATTTGAAGTTGACAACTTTCTGACATAAAATGTAAAATATCTTGCAAAATATTCAGTTTTCGGTAATCATACCTTACTATTTTTATGCCCCGCATAATGAGACCAATCTATTGATGTAAAGAAAACACATAGTTGCTTTTAAAAAAATGTGTTGCAAATTACATATATCTTTTTTAAAGAAACTATGTCTTTTGTTTACACCAATTGATTCGTCTTATTATTTAGCGCATAAAAATATTAAGATATGATTACCGAAAACTGAATATTTTGCAAAATAGTTTACATTCTATGTCAAAAAATTGTCAACTTCAATCCTTTATAAGTCGAAAAGTACGTAAGAGAAAAATATTTTATTATAGTGTTTTGGAAAATTCTCGAGCTAAGCTACAAGAATATGTAATAAAAATTAGAGGTTTTCATTTAAAATTTTTATGTTGACGAGGATTGTGTTTTTCAAGATCATCCCAAGATCAAATGAATACCATCTCAGTTAATACATTTTTTTAAGCTATACAACTTTTATTTAAAACATTTTTTCTAATATGTATTGTATAGGAAATATTCAACCGTATTCAGAAATTTAACATTCAGAAATTTAACATTTTAAACATTCAGAAATTTATAATTATTTTTTACGTGTCGCAAATGAAGGTTTACCTCTGTGTTTACAAACCTATATTTACAGAAGACGTTCTATATGTCCTCCTTTTATTACAATGCACGCTTGATAGTTTCTTCTTACAGAGTTACATATGCTTATCAAATAATTCGACATAGACTTCAAATTTTCGAGAATTCGCAACTTTCTAAAAAGAAGATGCATTGTAATGGATAAAGAATATAGGTATAAAACATCTCTTGTAAACAGTTTTGTCAGATATCACAAAATTGAAAGTAATATATAAAACAGTACTATATATGTATAAGACAGTACTAATAATATCTTATCATTCATTTATATTATTTACACAATTGCACAATTATCTTTTTTTTGCATAAGTATTTTAATTATATAATTTTTCCATTTTTTTATTAGTTGTTATGTTCTTAAGAGAGAAAATTTTATTTTTAGAATAAATTAAATAAATTATTACTTTTATTATTACTATTATTTTAACATAAATTATTATTAATCAGATTTAAAAAGTAGAAAGTTAAATAAATATTTCCTTATATACATAATTTTTTACGTATCTATTATTATGTTGATTACCAAGGTAAACTTTTAACGCTTGCCAAGAACGAACTCGCGAAAAAGCAACATAAAGTTGCCCATGATTAAAAACATCTTTACGAAGATCTAGACCAATTCTATCAAACGTTTGTCCTTGTGATTTGTTAATTGTCATAGCAAAAGCTAATTTTATCGGAAATTGTCTTCTAGAAAAAGTAAAGGGATATACATTTTCACAATATAATGTTATACGATTAAAAAAAAACAATATCTCCTGCTTTGTCACCTGTTAAAATCTTACACTTTAATAAATGATCTGCAAGCTCTATAATCATTAATCTAGTACCATTACAAAGACCTTCATTGATACTAAGATTTCTAATCAGCATAATGATACAATTTGGCCTTAAACGCAATTCATGAGGAGGAAGAGATGATGGAGATAAACTATTCAAATATTCCGGTAACAAAGCTTCACCAATGTCACCATTGTCATCATTTACAGCACTGTCTATACTTGTATAAATTCGTTCACCAGTTATATCTAATAATTCAACAACTTTTTGATTTATTTCGTCTACATCAACATTTCTTGCAGAAAGTATTGCACATTTAGCTACTTCAACAAACTCTTTTTTTTTAATTAATTCACCAAATATATCTTCCACAATATCAGCATCAATAGGTGCTACACAACATTCAGGAATTTGTATGTTATCATTGAAATCATTTAATACGCCATCTCCCATATTTAATAAAAACTTTGCAAATTCAATTTCTTCTGGAAGAACTCGCATATTTTGTGTTAAAGAAAATTTTACAAAATATCTCCAAGTAGAACTAAATTTAATAGATAGATTTACAATTTCACTTCGAGTAGCATGTACTTTTATTGGCAAAAGTTGTCTAAAATCACCACCTAATAAAACAATTTTTCCGCCAAAAGGAAAATCATTATTCATAATATCACGCAATGTTCTATCCATAATCTCTAAAGCATATCGTGGTGTCATTGGTGCTTCATCCCAAATATAAATATCAGTTTCTTTCAAATATTGAGCTTCTTTAGTTTGTATTTTAATGGCAGATGATAAATCAGCAAATAATGGCACCGGTAATTTAAATGTCTTATGAACTGTTTTTCCAGTAGGTAATAATGTCGCTGCAATACCTGTAAAAGCCATTGTGCACACGCGTTTCTTTCTAATTCTAGCTAAATGATAAATAGTTGTGTATATAAATGTTTTACCTGATCCACCCGGACCATCAATATAAAAACAATTATTATGATTATTATTATTATTATCTAATTTATTTAATAAAAGATCAACTATCTCTTTCTGCTTCTCATTTAATTGTTGGTATTGCTTGGTGCCTATTTCCATAGCTTCTTCAAGTGTCATATAATCCTCCTCTGTACTATTTTCTATTAACTGTTCCATTTGTGGGAAATCAGCAAAACTTTTACCTTCAGCACGAAGCATACTATTAATTTGCGCGTAAGCTTTATTTTGTCCTTGTAATATACCAAAATGTCGAACGTAATCCTCAGACATTGCTTCTTTAAAATTTTCCCACAACTCTTCAGGATATAATGGTTGACAATGTAATAATATGCGTACAAATAATCTACGAAATTGTCGAGGCATCATCCATCCAACAGCTTCATTCATAGCTCGTTTCCATTCATCATCATCTTCGATTAAACCTAACGCCAAACAAGCCGCTGAAAATGATTGATAAAATTCTCCATTTACAGTTCTCAAATCATTAAAACTTGTAGCACCCTTTACTGTGAGTAATAATAATCGTAAATGATATAATTCTGTTTGTGCTGGACTAACGGAATATATTCGTCCTAAACAATTATAATGACTTTTACGTTTAACCCAATGCGATACATTTCTGCCATTAATTGTTTCTTTTTTAAATGTATAATAGCGTGGAATTTCTATATATAAATACTCTCTTGCTTCTTTATCTCGAAAGTTTAATGAGAAATAATCTATTAACATAGTCACTTGATTTAAAGCAGAAGTCATTATGTCGTCAATGTTTTCATTTTCAATTATAATATTTTGTTCATTAGGAAGATGGACTGGCAAACGCATTATAGAATGACTTTTATCTTGTAATTTCTTACCAAGAATACGCCAACTGGCTTCTACAGGTCCAACATAACGAGCTTCAATATAATTATGTATCTCATCATGATCAATAATTACATTTTCTGTTATTGGTTCAATGGTTATAGCAGCAACATCGTGTCCTTTATAAATATATTTATACAAATATTTAACCGATTTAATACTTGAAACTACCTCAACGTTAATATGACAATTAAATATAATCGATAAAATAGGGCAATATGGAACAACATAACGATTATTAACTATATATCGGCCAGGGCGTTCAAAATTTCTACCATTATTTCGTCGACAATAATAAGGATAAGCATCTTCATCCATTTTAGTTTCTTCAAGAAAAGATTTCGGATAGTGTTTCGAACAACGTCCATCTACCAAACACCAATCACCACAAGGTCCATGAATCATATGTTTCATGATTATATCATGTAAAATACGATTTTCACATGGATCAGGAATTTCAGCAGAAATGTATTTATCAACAATTTGTGGAGTTGTTATTTTAAAATTATATTTTAAAGTAATTAACATATGAATATGTGGCAAACCACGTTTTTGAAATTCAATGACATACACAAACGCTGCTACTTCACCAAAAAATTTTTGCTTAACGATTAAATCAATTAAATAATCTTTTTTAATATTAAAAACACGAGCACAAATGTCAGGTCTATCAGAAGCTTGTTGACCAGGCAATAGATTTTCCTCAATTTCACGCCATTTTGGATTGCAAGTCATTGTGATAAAAAGATCTGGCTTACCAAATTTACTAACAATTGCCATTGCATCTTGATAATTTTGCAACATATTACGCGGCGACCCAATAAATGTGGAAGGAAGTATAACCATTTTTCCAATACGTCCATTTAAGTTATTCGCTGTAGTTTGTAAATAATCTCTTAAACCTTGATATGTTTCGGTACGTAATTCTTTTTGATGATTTTTACAGTAATCAATTCTATCTTTTTCCATTTTTACATAACTATCTACAAGCCATTGCTGAAATAAGCGACGTCCTAATAAAAAAACATTAAATTCATCACGGATAGCCATACGATATTTAATATATTGTCCTCTAGTTATTCGTCTATGACTATTTAATTTTGTTAAATCGCGATGCCATCCTGAAGTACCATATGGATAAAACAATGGATATATCCATGGCTCAACATTTGGATCCATAATACTAACTTTTTGTAAAATTTTAGTACTTCTATTACGTATTGTAACGTATGATTCTAGAATTTCTCCATCAGCAGTTGTGCAAAAAACAGCAGTAATTTCATTAGTTCTTTGAGCATTATATCGACGTCGATCCATACCTGGTTTTAAAGTAAATAATAATTGTAATTCCGGTAATAATTCACCAGATTCCATTTCTAAACATCGTTGATTTTCTAATTCTTCACCCATCATTTGATAAGATTGAGAAAATACATTAAATTCTCGCATTATATGTTCAAGGTTTTGTATAATTTCAAAATCTAAACACGAATTTTGACTAAGACGATGATTAATCGCTTCATTTGAATCCACAATGAAAAGTTGGCCATAAGTGGGACTTTCATTTTGCGCCGCATACAATGCTGTATTAATTTGATAATAAATTTGTCCTTGTATTTTAAAACAATATGGACCAGGACGTCTTCCTTGCAAATTAACCAAATTTGCATTAAACGAAGCAAATGAAAATAAACTATTATAACTACGAATATGTTGAAAAAAACTATTAGATTTTACATGACTTCCGTCTAATAAAGAATGAAGAAATTGAGGAAGTTCTGGCATTGGTTGCAAATACACTGCACTATGATTACAACAATCATGAAATGAATTTCCTCTATTAGATATTTTTTCAGATACAAAATGCTTTGCATTGCAATGAACGCAAAACACATTCATAGAACCAATATAATATTCAACAACATTATTTACTGACATAGTATTATTTAAACAAGGTTGATATTTTTGTCGTGATCGATAACGAGATTGCCATTCTGCAAAACGTTCCTGGCATACTGATACAGTATTTCCCGAATTTTGTTCTATAACTTCATTATCCAATTCTATTACATGATTATCACGTATTGTACCAGAAGTACAAACAATTTGTTCGTGTAATATTATATTATTTGATGATTGTTCTTCAACATCATCATCTAATTCTATTACACGATTATCACGTATTGTACCAGCAATACAAATAGTATGATTTTTATTATCAACTGATTTTGGTATATTATTTATTACTTTTGCAATCTGACGACGACGATGTTGATTTTCTGCTTTTCTTTCACAACGTCGTCGTTGAAATTCTTCTTCTTCTTCTTTAGTACGCTGTATTTTGCGTCTCGGCATTTTTATAAAAGTATTAATAATATATTAATAAATATACTAATTAACACAGATACGCTAATTAAAAAATATGCATACACACGTATTATAATTCCCGTCAAATATATGTATGTATTATACTATTAAAATTCACACAACTAAAATTTAATCTTTTACACTTTACAAATATAAATATATACAAAAAAATATGTAAGTGTAATTTTTTGTTAATTAAAATCCATAAATATATATTAACTATTAAACTTTAAACATATAAAAATTTAAATATACAATTCAAAATTTAATTTTTAAAATTTTAAACGACAAAAATAATATTAATATACTACACTAATAAAAACAAAATTGTATTAATTATTAAAATTTAAACAAACTACTGAACTACTAAAATTTTTTAGATTTTTAATAAAAATATGTACGAAGAAATAAATAGAAATACTATGTTAAAATGCAATTTATGAAATAAATATTGTTTATTAGAACTTAAACAAATAAATTAAATTATGCAAATTTAAATTATTAAAATTACAAATTAAAATAATTGAAATTGAATTTTTAGAAGTTTAAACGCAAATCTATAAAAAATCATCATCATCATTGTCATTATCATCATCATTATCATCATCATCATTATCATCATCATCATCATTGTCATCATCATCATTATTGTCATCATCATCATTGTCATCATCATCATCATTATTGTCATCATCATCATTGTCATCATCATCATTGTCATCATCATCATTGTTATCATCATCATCATGTTATTAAAATATATATTAAATTATTTACAATTTATGTACAAAATCTATATTAATAATTCATACAAATACGGAAAAATATAACAGGAAAAAATATAAAACAAATACAAGTAATATAAATACAAACATGCAATATTAGGAGACGCGGTAGTGTCTCCGGCCATGTTCAAACCCTAAAAGACCTTAAAAGACACTACAAGTCTCCTTATCCTGCACCATCAAAGTCCATTTTTTGGGGGTGTAGAACTACTAAAATATAAAAAATTTTGAATTGCACGTAATATAACCTGAAAGGCGGCATCGCCACGAGTAATTTGAGCCAAGAAGGAATAAAATCGGTCAAGCCGTTCTGGAGATACAAGCGGTCAAAAAGTGACGTTTTTCATGAAAAATGAAGTAACGTCGTCTTCTTCTTCTTCTTCTCTGTCCGCGTCCGCTGACGTCATCAGGATTATATATATATATAATATATATATAAATCTCTTCTCACCTTTCACTCACACCTCCCTCAACTTCCACCCACCCCTTTCCCTCCCACATCCCGTCCCCCCGCCTCCACCCCCACCACCACTCCCACCCCTCTTTCGCCCTAACTCTACCTCTTTTGTCCTATTTTTTCAGTTTTTTCGTTCTCTCTCACCCTCTGTTGTCCTCTTTCACCCTCTTTCACCGTCTTTCGTCCTCTTTCACCCTCTTTCGCCTCTTTCGTCCTCTTTCGTCCTCTTTTACCCTCTTTTGTCCTCTTTCACCATCTTTCGCCTCTTTCACCCTCTTTCATTCTCTCTCACCCTCTTTCACCCTCTTTTACTCCCTCTCACCCCCTTTCGTCCTCTTTCACTCTCTTTCGTCCTCTTTCACCCTCTTTCGTCCTATCTCACCCTCTTTCGTCCTCTCTCACCCTCTTTCACCCTCTTTCGTCCTCTTTCACATTCTTTCGCCCTCTTTCACCCTCTTTCGTCCTCTTTCACCCTCTTTCATTCTCTCTCACCCTCTTTCACCCTGTTTCGTCTTCTTTCACCCTCTTTCGACCTCTCTCACCCTCTTTAGTCCTCTTTCACTCTCCTTTGTTCTCTCTCACTCTCTTTCATTCTCTCTCACCCTCTTTCGTCTTCTTTCGCCCTCTTTCACCCAATTTCCTTTTTCACTCTCTTTCGTCCTTTCTCACCCTCTTTCATTCTGTCTCACCCTATTTCATTCTGTCTCACCCTTTTTCATTCCCTCTCACCCTCTTTCGCCCTTTTTCACCCTCTTTCGTCCTATCTCACCCTCTTTTGTCCTCTCTCACTCTTTCTCACCTTTTTCACCCTCGTACGTCCTTTCTCACCCTCTTTCGTTCTCTTTCACCCTCTTTCGCCTATCTCGTCTTCTCTTACTCTCATTCGTCCTCTCTCACCCTATCTCCAAAAAATCATAAAAATGAAAAGGTCAAGCCATGTTCAAAAGAAGGTCCTCAAAAATTTAAACCTTTAAAAATTTAAACGATCTAATAATAAATTATCACGAAAAGTAACTGATATGTTATTCAAGGTGCCAGTTCAAAGTGTGAACATACGTAAAGTGTATATTATCTAAATTTAGTAATAATATATTACCATGAAAAGTAACTGTGATATTTTATTGAAGGTGCAAGTTCACATTGAACATACATACATATAAGTAAAACTGATTACAATTTGATTCTAGAAAATAAGTGCGATATGTTATTCTTAGTGCACAAAATATAATAGTCGTTTATAGAGATTTGATTTGAAATTCATACTAGCCCGTACAATGAAAAATAATTGCTCGTTGTGGCTTATCCAAACATACTTCGTCTTCCGAAGCGTACTTTTATGAAACTGCTTACGAGCAAAGGAAAAAGTTTGAGCAACCACTTATAATGAGACAATCCTCTCCTCACGGAGTAATAAATGTTTTGCCGTTAATAGATACCAATGGTAAAAAGTTAAAAATGTGGCATTGTGATGAGAACAAATACCACATAAATGATACTTCCATGGAAAAATTTGTAAAATTTTTGGAACTGTTTGAAGAAGGTACTTTGAAAAAGATAATGAATGTTAAATTCATAGCGCAGCTAAAAAATTGTTCCGTTTCACGTACGAGTAGCAGATTAGGACATCCTCCGGAATGCTATACAAATCCGAATCTTTGCAAGTCATACATTGCAACGATAAACACTTTATCACCTCATTTTCCTTTCGTGAGGAATATTCGAAGAAATGTTTACAAATTGATCGACAATTATAATAAGTTTTGTCAACTGTTTTCATCTTTGAGATTCATCAATATGGATAAATTAGTTGAAATTTCCAATGATTTTAAGAATAAAGCAAGATTTTATCCAAAAAATGTAACTGATGTTTGTTTGGACGAGGAAAAAATTTTCTCGCAAAATTACGAAGCATTTAAAGTCATGAAAAAGCGATTGTTGGATTTACCACGTATCCCTTGCATCTCTTGCGAAAAATTATGCTTGAGAAGAGACGTTTCTAAGCTCGAGAAGCTGAGGAAAACAATAGACGGACCTTTTTGGAAAGATCTGATAGCAAACGTAACAGAACACAGTAATAATACTGAATTCGTTTGTAAGCTTTGTTTGGGTAAATTTCAAAAAAGCGTGTTGCCTTCTACTTGCATTTTGAATAATCTTGCGGTAAAACCATTAGCAGATGTTTTGTCAAATTTCAGTGATTACGAAAAAATGTTAATCAAGAGAATGAGCAGCTTTCAAGTAGTGCAATTGATGGGCAATGTTTCGAACAAACATACCGCATAGACAAATGATCCGCAAAGTAAAAGGTAGAACATTTCATTTGCCTCTACCTTTACAAGAAACATTGGATAAGGTATGTCCTCCGGAAGATCCTATAAATTTGAATCACGAGTTGCACATTCTCGTTCGAGGTATACCCAAGAAATCTAAAGTGGTTTGGGAAAATTTGGTAGATATTAATAAAGTGTATAAGGCTTTACAATGGTTGAACGAAAATAATCCTCATTACTCGAAAATTCGTCTTCCGGCGTCATCTGATGATCTATTAAATGATAAGTTGCAGGAAACAGAATATCGGATTATCGATGACAAAAGCGACAATGACGAAATAAATGAGGTGGTTGAGAAATTACCAGCATTGAATTTGTACAATGTACAGGAAAACAAAAATAATAATGATCAAATCGTTTTAAAACGTAGGGCTTTCCTCACACAAATCACTGAAGATTCGGATATTAACGATCAGTATACAATATACCCAATACACGCGAAAAGAATCGATAACGAATCTGCATTGAAGC